TCTGCCAGGGCTGCTCAAGTGTCCCCATAACATGGCAGCCAAGAATGAGCAAGGCAGTGGCTGTGGTGTCTTCTGTGACCTAGATCTGCAAGCCCCACACGGGCCTGCCCTGCCTCAGTGTGGGCGTGGACAACACAAAGGCGTGGACACCAGGTGACAAGGACCACCAAGGCCCATCATGGGGCTGGCTGCCACACTGCCTTAGAAGTTTCTCTGAGGGGTGTCTGAGCGGCTCAGTTAGTTAAGCATCCAACTTCAGCTTGGGTCATGATCTCGCGGTTCATGAGTTTGAGCCCTGCATCAGGCTGTATGCTGACAGCTCAGAGCCTGGAGCCTGCTTCAGATTCTGTGCCCCTGTCTCTCTGCCCCTCCTCTGCTTATGCTCTGTTTCTCTCTGTCTCTCAAAAATAAATACTTTAAAAAAATCTTTTAGGGGCACCTGGGTGGCTCAGTCCGTTAAGCATCCGGTTTGGCTCAGGTCATGATCTCACAGTTCGTGGGTTCGAGCCCCGCATCGGGCTCTGTGCTGACAGCAGCTCAGAGCCTGGAGCCTGTTTCGGATTCTGTGTCTCCCTCTCTCTGACCCTCCCCTGCTCACGCTGTGTCTCGCTCTCAGAAATTTTTTTTAAAAAAATTTTTAAGAAGTTTCTTTGAAGATTAAATGAACATTTCCTAAGCTGTGCCCCTAAAATCCCTGTTTCCTACTCAAAATCCAGCTTCCTAGACCCTGCTGCAACCTACTGACCCATAATTCCAGCAACCAGGGCCTAGGACTCTGCATTTTAAGACCCCCCCCCCCCCAGATGACTAGGACATCATAAGTGTCAGTAAATGGGAGGCAGTTCTAACGATTTCATTTTGTTGGCCCCAGCAGTGTGCCAGGAACAGTGCTGGTGAAGCAGAGGAGCAGAGGCGTATAGAACCCGTGTTCACTGGGTGTCTTGGCGTAGTCTGGAACACTTGGGTTGAGAGGGATTTTGATCCACTTAAAGATGTGCAAATGGTTTATTGGGAAGATCCAAGGGAAACCCTGTGAAATCAGCCAGGTTTTGGGTCACTGCTTTGGGTCTCTCGCTAAGGCCCCCTCACACCTAATTTAGTCTGTTCCCCCACCTCACAGTTCCCAGGACCCTGCCCAGCTCAGCTTGTGAATGAGGATCAATTCCTGCCCAGGCAACCACAGGGAGGGGAGATTCAGGGGAGGCGGTGATTGGCATCTCAGTGCCAAGCCCTGGGGGCACACCAGCCGTAGACCTGGTCCCCGCTGTCAAGGATCTATGGTCTGGAAGGCCTGGGTGCACGGCCCTGGGCGCTTGACCCCACGACCAGAGAAACGGTAACAACAGTCCCCTTGGATGAGGAAGGGAGTGCAGTGGCGGCGGCCACAGCACCCAAGTGCTTCCAGAGCTGCTCCAGGTCTACAGCCACTGCCGCAGGCCCAGGTGTGGACGGAGCCGAGGCAGCTCTGACCCTCTGTCAGGAGTGGGCAACCATTGTGAAGCCCTGAGTTCAAAGCAGTTCATGGGACCACCTTTTAACAAGTCTACGTCAGAAAACACAGATTTGGAGCTGGGCTGAAGCAATTTATCTTTTTTTTCCCTTCATTTTTATTTTGTTATTATTTTAGAGAGAGAGAGAGAGAGAGAGAGTGTGTGTGTGTGTGTGTGTGTGTGTGTGAGCAGGGGAGAGGGACAGAGGGAGAGAGAGAGGAGAAAGAATGAATCTTAAGCAGGCTTCTGTGCTCAGCACAGAGCTGGACTCGGGACTCGATCTCACAATCAAGAGATCATGACCTGAGCCGAAATCAAGTTGGATGCTTAACTAACTGAGCACCCAGGTGCCCCAAACAGGTTATCATTTTACTGCTGCTGATGTTTTGATTTAGATGCCAAGATTTTAGAAATTTTAATATTTGTTCGCTCAGAAGAGGCGATGGAAGGCTTCCAGGGAAAGGATGTCCGACGGAATACCACTGCTGCACTAACCTCCACCCCACTGTGCTCACAATAGCCCTACATCGGGGTCACAGAGCCACACTTCTTAGAGGGGACAGCTACAGTCACTCAAGCTTACATGTTAGGAAGCCTCTGGCCGCAGATAACAAAAAAAGTTCCCCTCAAAACTGAGCATAATACACTCTAGTTGCATCCACATTGTTGCCAATGGCAAGATTTCTTTATTTTTGATTGTCAAGTAGTATTCCATTTTGTGTATATACCACATCTTGTTTATCCATTCATCAGTCAACAGACATTTGGGTTCTTTCCATAATTTGGCTATTGTTGAAAGCGCTGCTATAAACACTGGGGTGCATGTGTCCCCTTCCAATCAGCATTTTTGTAGCCTTTGGATAAATACCTAGTAGTGCTATTACTGGGTCATAGGATAGTTCTATTTTTAACTTTTTGAGGAACTTCCATAGCGGCTCATCGTTTTCCAGAGTGGCTGCAGCAGTTTGCATTCCCACCAACAGTGCAAAAGGGATTTCCCTTTCTCTGCATCCTCACCAACATCTGTTGTTTCCTGAGTTGTTAATGTCAGCCATTCTGACGGGTGTGAGGTGGTAGCTCATTGTGGTTTTGATTTGTTTTTCCCTGATGATGAGTGATGTTGAGCATCTTTTCACATGTGTGTTATCTGGATGTCTTCTTTGGAAAAGTGTCTATTCATGTCTTCTGCCCATTTCTTCACCGGATTATTTGCTTTTGGGGTGTTGAGTTTGAGAAGTTCTTTACAGATTTTGGATACTAGCCCTTTATCCAATATGTCATTTGCAAATATCTTCTTCCATTCCGTTGATTGCCTTTTAGCTTTGTTGTTTCCTTCACTGTGCTAAAGTTTCTTATCTTGATGAGGTCCCAAAGTTCATTTTTGTTTTTATTTCCCTTGCCTCTGGAGACGTGTTGAGTAAGAAGTTGCTGCAGCTGAGGTCAGAGAGGTTGCTGTCCGTTTTTCCTCTAGGATTTTGATGGTTTCCTGCCTCACACTTAGGTCTTCTGTCCATTTTGAATTTATTTTTGTGTATAGTGTAAGAAAGTGGTCTCATTTCATTCTCCTGCATGTTGCTGTACAGTTTTCCCAGTACCATTCACTGAAGACACTGTCTTTATTCCATTGGATATTCTTTCCCTGTTTTGTTGAAGATTAGTTGGCCATACACTTGTGGGTCCATTTTTGGGTTCTCTATTATGTCCCATTGATCTAGGCGTTTTTGTGCCATTGTGATACTGTCTTAATGATTACAGCTTTGTAATACAGCTCGAAGTACAGAATTGTGAAAAACAGCTCTGGTTGTCTTTGTCAACATTACTTTGGTTACTTGGGATCTTTTCTGGTTCCATACCAATTTTAGGATTGTTTGTTCTAGCTCTGTGAAGAATGCTGGTGTTATTTTGATCAGGATCGCGTTGAATGTGTCGATTACGTTGGGTAGTATCGACACTAACAATATTTGTTCTTCCAACCTATGAGCGTGGAATGTTTTTCCATTTCTTTAGGTCTTCTTCAATTTCTTTCATAGGCTTTCTCTAGTTTTCAGTGTACAGATTTTTTTACCTCTTTGGTTAGGTTTATTCCTAGGTATCTAATGGTTTAGCAGCTAAAGTTTAGCTGATCCCTGAAAGTCCAATGGGAGCAGTGCAACTAACCACTTAGGGTGGATGGATATGGGCAGCCAGCCCATAACTTCCGGCCTGATTGCCCTCCTTGTGATTCTCACCCCTACCCCATGTGGCTTCTCAGAATATTCCTTCTGCATATATAACAGTATCCCCCCCAGGGACTGAGTAAGGACAATTTCCTCTACTTTGTCATGCTTCTGGGATGCTTTAGTCACCCTTAGACCACGTGCCCCAAACATCCCCAGTCAGTCAAGAAGACACACTGACATATTAGCAGGTGGATCCCCAACACTTAGGTATCGACCAGCTGTCTCCCCTCCCCCTTTCAGTTGGTTGCAAGGAAACATTCCAGCCCTAAAAACCCTAGCAGATGAGGGCACCCTTATGACCCTCCCTCATGGGGCTCTCTCCTGCTCTTTCCCCCATCCTATACCCCAGGCCCTGAAGAGGTTGTGGTCACAAACACCAGACAGCACCCTGACTCAGCTTGTGGGGGGACCACTTCCCCAGCTCCCATGTCAGCTGTGGCCCCGGGAGAGGTGGGAGTAATTACTCAGCATACACACAGGATGTTCACAGTGGCATGATTCCCTGACCTTGATAGTTTTCATTTCTTATTCTTGAACTTGTCTTGTGGACTGAGGACTGGAGGTTGCTCATCCTAAACCACATTTTCCTAAATGTGCCCGATTTTTCCAGGCTGGCAAGGGGGACATGTGACTCAAGTTCTGAATCCATGTTAAGAGGACCTAGGGCCTAGTCCATCATGCTGGGTGACCTGGGGCAAGCCCCTTCCCTTCTGTGAATCCCCCATTAGCCCAGCAAACAGGCTCCATGAGTCTGACACAGCATGAGCAACACTAGCGTCCACCACGTGCACAATGCAGACATCACTAATCAATTACAGGCTCTTTCCCCTGAACTAACATTGGTTCCAGAATTCCCCTCCAGGCTCCCAGGCAGCCACCACGAACTCACCGGTGAGCAGAGGCAGATTTTGACTCTTCCATTTGACATCCCTGACGTCCCTCCCAGCTGGCAGACCTTTTAAATCCTCACCTTCCCCCCCGCCTTCTCTCCCTTCACAAAAGGAACTTTGCAACTCCCATTCTTCCCTCAAATTCTAGGATTCTAGAGGTTTACATCCCTGCTCTGACACCTTTCAGCTGTGTGAACGTAGCAGATCGCTTAACCTCTCTGAGTCTCAGTTTCCTTATCTGTAAAATGGAGCTAGTATCTGCCATGAGAGGTCGAGAATGTTCCTGGCAGGCATCAGGCATGGGGGCACTCAGCACACACTAGTCACTTCTCTTGTGGAGATTACTCTGCCAGGCAAATCAATCAAGGATTTTGATAGGAAAAAAAGGACACAATCAGCCATTACTTGACAAACATTTTATTCAGCCTTCACATCCCCCTCCCAGGCTGCCTGGTATCTCTGTCCCCACCCAACTCCGGAGGCAGCCTGACCCGACCTTGTGCTTTTTTTTTTTTGCGGGGGGGGGGGGGGAGGAGGAATAGGCAATGTACCTTTAGAGAGCTTGTAAACCTGCACCAGGATCAGGGTCAACACCTCTCCCCACCAGCTGGGTCTGCCCAGGACATGGGCTCTGGGCAGCTCCTAACCTCTGTAAAGACCCAGAACCTACGGACAAGAGCAGCCATCCCCACCCCCACTACCCAGGACTCGGGGAGGAGGAAATGGGATGTGTACACAGACCCCAGAGGCACATGCCAGGAGAGTCGGACTTGCTGGGGAGAAGGTAGAGAACCAGGTGACATTCTTGAGGTGCCTTTGTTTCCAACCAAGGCTCCTGGCCCTCTCCCTGGGGCCAGTGCCAACTGCCCCCCACCCCGGGCCAAGCCCAGAGCGGGGACACCCCATCCCTTCCAACCAGCCAACAAGAAACAAAAGCAGTGAAAACGCCAAGCTTCGTTGCTAGAGAAAAAAAACACCCTAAGTATTAAAAATTAAATTAAAACTGAAGCCCCAGTCAACTGAGCCAGCAGTGAGCTGGTGATTGCAGACACACAGGCAGCCCCCATGGTCCCCGAGCCCCAGGGTCTCCACAGAGAGCAGGAAGGGGCCTCAGGGCCAAGTCTGTCTGTCCCAAGAGGGACCGTCTGGCGAAATACAGGTTGGGGCATATGTGTCTTCAGGGGGTCCCCAGTGTGGGGTACTGAGGACTGTAAACATAACCCAGCTTGAGGGCCGAGGGGTGTCCCAGCCCCCCCGAGATTCTCCCTGGATGAAGAATGGCCACTGTGGTGAGTACGTGAAACAGCAGTTGGCCTTGAAGCACATCAAGACCTCGTCTCCCCAGCAGAATTTGGGGGTGGAGGTGGGCTGGGGCTGTGACGGAGCCAGAGGGTTCCAGAAGCCACACAGCTCGGCAGCTGTTTCTTTGCTGTGCCTGATCAGCACCTGGGCCCTTTCTGGGTGGCGAGTCAGCTCATGGCCACCCATCCCTGGGGAAACCTGCGGGAAGGTCAGCTCAGGCCGCAGCTGCCTAGCCCAGGGCCGGACAAGGTCAGGTGAGCTCCGGAGAGGCCCCACCCCAGGCTCAGGCCCCACCCCAGGCTCGGGCCCCAGAAGCAGCAGACCGGAGGATGTGACGGATTGTCAGGAGGGCACGTGAGAGCCACCACAGGGACACAGGCCTGGCCCAAGCCACAGGGCTGCTACTGGGCCAGGAGCACCTTCTCCAGGCCTGGCTGACGCCCAGGGTAAAGTCCCGCCTAGGCCCCACTCCAAGCCAAGAGCCCTTGGGACTAGGCAACCTCACCGCACCGGTCACACCTGCGCCACCTTGTGCACCTGCTGCGGGAGACGGCCAGGCGGCCGGGAGCAAAAGGAGGTCAAACCGGGTGTGGGGTGGCACGGCCACGGCTTCCCTCTGTCCACGCCTGGTCCGGACGGGAGCCCCCGGGCCCAGGGCTGACGCGGCATTGCCTTTCAGGCCGCAGATCCTCGTGTGGCCCGTCACCCCAGCGGGGGCCAGTTACCAGCAAGAGGCCCTTGCTGGGTGACTCCGGTGCGGCCCGGGGCTAGAGCTCCCTCGAAACCAGCCCTCGGGCTTCCTGAGGCCCCTCCAGGGCCTGGATCCTCCTTGGAACAGGGGACAGGGCCCTGCGGAGTCGCACAAGTCCTAAAGCACCCACCCCTCCGAACCCAGCCTTCTCAGGGCACAGTCCCGGAAGCCAGGCCACCCCGATTTCCCTGGGGACCAGCCCCCACCCCAGTCTCTCCAGGCAGGGCCCGTGAGGGCGAGGCCCCGCGGCTGGGGTCCGGTCCAGAAACAGGCCCCCGGTGCCCTCAGGGCTGGGCCCGGCTCCTGAGCCACTGGCTCCTCAGGGCCCTCACCTCCTCCCCATACCGCTCGTGGAGCTGGGCAAAGGGCACCGCGTGCAGAGGCCCGTTGGGCGCCGACGCCCGCCGCCGGGGGGGCAGGGGCGGGGGCGCGGGGCCGGGCCGCGCGCCGGCGGCGGCGGCGGCGGCGGCGGCGGCGGCGGCGGCGGGGGCGGGGCCCGGCGGCGGCTCCGCGCTCCACACCGCGCAGGCGCAGCCGTTCTCCTTGGGCGGGAGCGCGCGGGGCCGGCGCGGCGGCGGCGCGCAGCCCCCCGCGCGCACGGCGGCCAGCTGCTGCTCCAGCTCGCGCACCACGAGGCGCAGGTAGTCGAAGCTGGCCCGCGACAGCGCCTTCACCCAGCCCTCCATGGCGGCCTGGCTCTCGGCGGCCAGCACGTAGGTGCGGGCCCGGGCGCCCGCGAAGCGCACGGCGAAGGCGAACTCCTCGGCGGCCTCCACCAGCTCCACCGTGCAGCCCTCCAGGATGATGACTCCCACGGGCTCGCGGCTGGCCGCGTCCTCGAAGTAGAAGAGCATGTTGCCGCGCAGCACGAACCAGCGGCGGTGGTAGGCCGCGTGCCGGCCGCCCTTCTTGTACAGGAAGCCCGCGTTGTCCACCGGGGCGTCGCAGGTGGCGTAGAAGGCCAGGCTGCGCTCGTTCAGTTTCATGGCGGCGGGGGGCCGGGACCTGTCCCCAACCAGCACTGCGGTTACTCGCACGGCCGCCGCCCCCCCCCCCACCTCCGGCCACCTGGATGCCACCCTCGGCCACCGCAGCCCGCAGCCCTCCACGCCCCTCTTGCGCAGGTGAGGACCCTGAGGCTGCCCGGGCAGAAGTGGCCTGCCCGAGCTGTCACAGCTCTTTGGGAGCAGGGCCACGGCCCAAACCCTGACTGGCGCCAGAGGCCTCCCCAAAATAATACCGTGATGACTCCTGCATGCCATGCATTTTATACACATTAACTCATTTAATCTCGTAGCAAACCTCAGCTGGCAGGGACTAGCATCAACCTTATTTGACCGACAGGGGGACAAAGGACAGAGAGGTTAGTCACTAGCAGAAGGTCACAAAGCAAGTTGGGCGGAACTGAAATTCAAACCCAGGCCTCATTTTGGGTACTGCTGTTTTCGTCATCGCCTGAAACCAGACCGGCTGTCTCTGTGTGGCCCCTTTCAGGTCACAGCTCTGCTTTCCTAACTCGGCTTTGACTTGCCTGTCCAGGAAATGGGGATATGAACAGAACCTATTATTAAGCACCTACTATGTGCCAGGTACTGTTCCAGGCACTAGGAATAGAGCAGTAACAAGATCCCTGCCCTTGTGGTACTGACATGCTAGTGGCACAGGAGGAGGGCAGACAATTAACAAACAGGTAAAATATGCCTGCCAGATGGTCTTCGGTGTTAAAGAAAATACAGTGCAGGGAAGGGAGCAGGATTTTAGGGACAAAAGGGCTGTTTGATTTTAATGAGAGTCAGGAGAGCGATGAGAAGGTAACATCTGAGCAGAGACCTGAAGGAGGTGAGAAAAGGATCCCTAGAGACATACCAGGCCAAGGGGAACAGCAAGTGCAAAGGCCCTGAGGTAAGAACCTGCTGCTATGCTTGAGGAACAGCCGGGAGGCTGGTGAGGCTGGAGCAGAGTGAGGAAGGTGAGAGGCAGAAAAGACTATTATGAAATGATCCAGGTAAAGGGGCCAGGGCTTGGCCCACACAAACAGGGAGGGGATGAGGAGAGCAAGCAGAGGACTCTAATTCTATACATTTGGCCCAGTGATTTTATCTACCTTCCCCGAAGGAGTACATGATGCGGGCAGCACTGGCCAGACAGGACTTATTGGGAGGTGGAACGTGGGCCCCCAATATGGGAGTTTCTTCCCTTGGGGTTTTCCATGGCCACTTCACTGGGGCTTCTGTATAGACAGTAGCTATATTTTTCAAGAGGCAGAGCATGCAAAGTCCCTGGATTGTAGAAGGTGCTCAATTAATGTTTGTTCCCTGGCCTGGGTGGTGTCTTGGTCAGGGCCTGGAGGAATGAGGTATGGCTGGTGATTCTCCTAGGGGCATCTGGCCATAGTGGGGCCAGGCCAGGCAACCAGAGCAGCGGGGGCAATTACTTCCAACTGAATCCACCCCAACTAACTTACCTGGGAAGTCAAGGAAGGCTTCTTGGAAGGGGAAGCCAAGCTATGAATGACCTAGCAGCAGGGCCAAGGCCAAAGGCCCTGAAAGCTCAGGGTGTTTAGTCCCTGCTCTGCCTACTTGAGTTGACAGACTGCAGACACAGGCTGCCATGCTCTGAGCCTCAGTTTCTCTCTCTGCAAAACAGGACTCATGCGTTCTCCCCAACACCCCCAACAGCTCCACATGGACCCTGGCTCCATTTCTCCCAGGAACCACCGCCCTACTTGCCCCCATCTCCCTCCTACCTCTCAGGCCACTGCCTGCCTCCCTGCCCTCTGCCCAGTCTGGTCTCGGCTTGCTCTTCTCTGGGTTCAAATGGCAGCTCTGTAGTGTCCAGGTTGTGTGACCCCGGGCAAGCGTTAAGCCTCTCTGGGCCTCTGTTTCCACATCTGTAAAATGGGATCAGAACAGCACCTAAGGCAGGGCGTCGTGACAATGACATAGTGACTATGTAGAAGGCGCAGAGCATGGTGCCGGGCACACAGCACACACACACTCAGCAGGGGCAGCTGTAGACGTTCTTCTCGGCCTTGCGGAGTGCTCTCCTCAGCACCCCCTGTCTCAGCAAACGGCATTGGCTTCTCCCCCCACCTCCACTCCGCACTCATCAGGCCCAGTTGATTCCTGCCTAACTTCTTCCAAATCAGTGACCTAATCTCTGCCCTCTGCCCTCTCTAGGCCCCCATCACCGCTCGCCTAGACAGCTGCATTAGCCTCCTCAGCGTCTCCAGGTTTCCACGCTTGCTCCTTTCCTGTGTTCTTCAGGGTAAGAGCCAAACGCCCTCCTCGGCGCCTCCCCGGGCCCCACCGCAATCCGTTCCCCACAGAGGGATCCGGTTAAGTCCAACCACACCCCTCCTCCACTATAAACGCTCCCATGGCTCCCTACTTGTCCCAGTATTAAATTCAGTCCTCCCCAGGGCCTCTGAGATCCCCCCTCCCCCCCCCCGCCTCTCTCCCCCTCGTTCATTCCGCTCCAGCCACCCTGGCCTCCTTGCTGTTCCTCAGCCTTTGCCCCTCTGTCCGGACTGCCCTTCTCCTAGCTCTGCATGGCTGACATCTCATCCTTCAGTTTCAGCCTGACCATCACCTCCTCAGGGAAGCAGCCCCTGACCACCCCGTACACAGAGCCCCCGCCCCCATCCCGTCACTCTCCTCTACGCCAACCTGAAATTACCTGGGTTGTCTTTGCCTGTTCTAGGAGGGCAGAGGTTTTTTTGCCTGAATTCCAGTGCCTGGCATGTCGTCGGTGCTCAGATGCCTGTAGAATGAACCAGACAGTGATCTCAACAGCCTCATAAGAAGGGATCTCAACCTCAACCTGCACTCACAGATGTGGAAAATGGAGACAGAGAGGTTAAGTAACTGGCCCAAAGGCACAATGCTGTACCCAGAGTCATATGCTCTAGGCAGCCAGCACATAGGGGCTGATCTCAGGGTCTCCTCGCCCCATTAACACCAAGGAAGAGCAATTTATTTACCTCATGCTCAGCAGCCCTCCTCCCACTGCTGCTCACATGGGGCCAGCCTGGCCCAAGGTCACCAGCCAGCGCAGAGCCCTGCTCTGCCTATGGCCCTTGCCTCCTCCAGTCTAGCTAAAAGGGGAGGGCTGGCGGCAGCCGGGGTGCGGGCTCCAGCCTCTGGGAGGGCCTGGCCACGCACTTAGCTCCTCACACTCGTGCTGTTTTCCAAGAAGTTCAGAGTCCACTATGGGCACTGCTGTTGATTCAGCAGCCCATGGCCAGGCAGGAAGCTGGAGGGAGCCTGGCCTCCCTCTGGTTCCAGAGCCAGGCTGTCCCCTCGGCTTAAGACTGTCACTTCTCTTTTGCCAGCCTCGGTTCCTTCATCTGCCCAATGGGCTGTGGAGTGGGTTCAGTGGGCTAGAACGAGAAAAACCCACTGGCAAACTATGGGAAAGGCACCAAAAGCACTGCCTCTGTGAGTCGGGCTGAGCCTCATTTATAAAAGGAGAATATTAATATCCATGCCTCTGGGAAAGACTGAATAAATCCTGACGAGCCACTCTGCAGAATGTGTAGCAGGTAGTGAGCATTCAGGAAAGACACTGTCCAAAAGGCAAATAATTAGCTCAAGGTCTCCAGGGACGCAGCTGACCCAGAACCCAGGACTCGGGGGAAACTGAGGCATGGCAATTTGGCATCCAATTCAGGAAGCCAGACAGCAGGTGCTGATACTGAATCCAGCTGCCACAAGTGTCCCCCAACGGTGGGCATGGGGGAGAGGGTGTGGCAGCTACAGGCAGCAAGACCTGCTGAGAACCCCGAAGAGCCAAGAGCGCCTGACCAGCGCTTCCCTGAGCCGGGTCACAGGGACGCCAGGACCCCCGCTCCAGGCTCCACGCTGCCCCGCTGGTCCTCGAGGTCTGGCACTGTTCCAAGCTGTCCTCTGCCTCTTTGTGTCTGGTGTGCTCCTTAAAGGACAACCAGAGCCCCAGATGAGGTGGTCAGCGGCAGAACATGGGAGCCAGAGTTCCGCCGGCAGCGGAGGTCCCTTCTGGAGCCGGGGATCAGCGGCTAAGTTCGGCCCGGGCAGCTGGGATCCCTAACGGGTAAATTACCAGTGACGTGGAATCGCAAATGAGCAGCTGTCCAGCAGAGGTCTCCCCAGACGGCCGGGGCACCCCGAGGCCCACGATGGCCTGAGCCCGGTCCCGCGTCCCCCCACCAGGCCGGCCTTACCTCGCCGAGCAGCCTAGGGAGGCGGCGACGGCGGCGGGACGGGAGGCGCGCGGCCAGAGGCGGCCCGGCCATGGCCCGGGATCCGCTCGGTGGCGGCGGCGGCGGCGGCGCTTTGTCTCCGGGGCCGCCCGGCCGGCGCAGCCGCGGGAGAGCGCCACTCGGACGGAAGGAGGCGGGGACAGCCGGACTGTCCGCGACCCGCGGGCTCTCCCCTTTAACCCTTCGCAACCCACCCTTGCCGGGCCCGCCCCAGCGTTCGTCCCACCCTCGGATTGGCCAGCCCCGACTCGACACGCCTCCTGGCTTTGACACGCCCCCGTTGGCCCGCCCCCAAACTACTCTTAAAGGGACCGCGACTAGTTCACGAGTCCCCCGTGCTCTATCCTAGGGAAGAGGCCTAGATCCCTGAAATCCAACGCGCTACCATGGGTAAGAACAGACAGCAGATTTGCCCGGAAAAAAACTCTGGGGTCCTGTGCGGGACCAGTCGTTGCAGCTCTAGGCGTGGAGTCGGAGCTCCTCCCTGGCTAGCGTTGCTAGGTTTCGCCAATTTAACTCCCCGCTAAATCTGAAAAACAACTATGCTGAAAATTTGTAATTTATTTTAAAGATCTGAATACAGCACGTGTTGGACGTTTTGATAAAGTCAGTAGAGGACTGTATTATATGCAGAGAGTGCCTGGCAACCCTACCCCTTGCCCCATTGAAGAGGGAAAGTTCATTGAGTTGAGTTGGAAAGGTGTGGATTCAAGTCCCCCTGGGTCGTTTAATCACTGTGGGCCTTTGAGAAGTAGCTTCACTTCTGTAGGTGTTTGTTTCCTCATCTTTAAAATAAAGACAGTTATCGTATGTAAAGTTCATGGCACACAGTAGGTGCTCTCAGCAAACCGGAATTGCTATTCTTTTTGTTCCACCCAAAATAATACAGTTCTGACGTTTGTTTATTTCCTGCTCTTGCTGTCTTCTCACCACCCTTCAGGCCACAGTCATTGTTCAGTCCTGGCCTGAGGACAGGAGAGGAAACAGGACAGATCAAGATCATTTATTCATTCTACAACCTCTTACTAAGCACCTACTGGGTGCCTCTAGAACCTCTTACTAAGTGCCTAGTGGGTGCCAGACACTGTTCTGGAATCAGTCAACAAATGAGTTCTGGAAGTGATTTATGTCTGGAAGACAATCAGCCACGGCCGTGAGGTAGAAAGAATGAGAGTGAGATTTTAGACAAGGTGGTCAGAGAAAGCCTCTCTGAGGAGCAGAGACCTGAATGAAGCGAGGGAGACGATTGTCCCAGGCAGAGGAAACAGCAAGTGCAAAGGCCTGGGATGGGACCTTCCCAAGCGTGTTGAAGAACCAGAGCAGGCCAAGGGGGCTGGAATCAAGTGAGCAAGTGGAAGAATGGTAGGAAATGAGGTCAGAGAGTACTGAGAAGGCCTGGTTGCTTAGGGCCTTGTGGATCATAAGAAAGATTTTAGCTTTAGTTTGAGAAGAATGGGGAGCCATGGGAGGGTTTTGAGATCATGAGAGGAACATAGTCTGTCTTCGATTCAATATGGTCCCTGGCTGCTGTGGGGACGATGGGCTGTAGGGAGCTAGGGTAGAGGCCAGGTGACCAGGGAGGATGCTATTATAGTTATCTACGCAAGTGACGGGGGTGGCTTAGAGCAAAGCAGAGGCAGTGGAGGTGGAGAGCAGTGGTTGAATTCTGGAGCTTACCCGATAGTGAAACCAGCACAGAGGAAAGGAGAGCCAAAACCTGAAGAGAGGCAGATACCTAATGGTATCTGATACTGGCTGAGCCCCTGAAGACAGCTGTAGCAGATGCTCCCATATTTCTTCAGCAGGGCAAGGCAAGCTCGCATTTCCCCAAATGTCGACACTCACCAGATAAGGAATATGCCAGGCACAAAGGAATTTTGGTTTTGTGGGGAACATCTCCCAGAAGTCTGTGTGCCTCAGCTCTCAGAGCCCCTCCTGCTATATTTGAGGTTTGGCATGGGTGAAAGAGGCAGAACTCAGAAAGCAAGAGCGCGGTGTCCTTTTTTAAAAATTCCTTATTAATTATTTTCATTTTAATTGAGGTGAAAATCACATAATAAAAAATTAACCATTTTATTTTTTTAATTTATTTTTATTTTTTGAGAGACAGAGTGAGACAGTGTGGGGGGAGGAGGGGCAGAGAGAGAAGGAGACACAGAATCTGAAGCAGGTTCCAGGCTCTGAGCAAACATTCAGCACAGAGCCCAACTTGGGGCTCGAACCCACGAACTGTGAGATCATGACCTTAGCCAAAATCACACACCTAGCCAACTGAGCCACCCAGGCGCCCCAATTTTTTTTTAATTTTTAAGTAATCTCTACAACCCAACATAGGGCTCAAACTCACACGCCCAAGGTCAAGAGTTGCATGCTCCACCGACTGAGTCAGTCAGACGCCCCCAAAATCAACCATCTTAAAGTAAACATAATATAGAGCATGGTGACTAGATAACACAGTTAGTATAATTGAAATTTGCTGAGGGAATAGAACTTAAATGTTATCACACACACACACACACAAACCCACACACCCCCCCAATGAAACACATTGATGAATGTGTTAACTAGGGTAGAGGAATCCTTCCACAATATTTATAGATATCAAAACATCAATATGTATGCTTTAAATAGCTTACATTTTATTTGTCAATTATACCTCAATAAAGCTAAAATAAATAAAAGAAAAAAGATACAGCTCCCAACTTTAAAATGTCACCAGAACACAATAAAATAGACGGTTCAGTGACATTTAGTACATTTGTGATGTGTATGACCACCAGTACTATCTAGTTCCAGAACATTTCTGTCACTGCAAAGTAAAACCCCACATCCATTGGCAGCCACTCCCCTTTCTCCCCTCCTCCCAGGCCCTGGCCACCATCAGTCTACTTTTTGTTTTTTCTCTCCACAGAGGTATAGTTGACACACAATGTTATATTCATTTCAGGTGTACAACAGAGTGACTCAGCAACTCTGTACTTTGCTCTGTTCACCACAAGTGTAACTACTATCTGTCACCATGCAACACTGGGTTTTTTAAGTTTACTTATTTTGAGAAAGAGCTGGTACATACACACGCTCGAGCAGGGAAGGGGCAGAGAGAGGGAGAAAGGGGCGTCTGGGTGGCTCAGTCAGTTAGGCATCCGACTTCAGCTCAGTTCATGACCTCAGAGTTTGTGGGTTCAAGCCCCTCGTCGGGCTCTGTGCTGACAGCTTGGAGCCTGGAGCTTGCTTCAGATTCTGTGTCTCCCTCTCTCTCTGCCCCTCCCCTGCTTGCACACTGTCTCAAAACTATTTTAAATATATTAAAAATATATTTAAGAAGAGAGAGAGAGAGAGATTGAGAGAGAGGGAAAGAGAGAATCCCAAGCAGTCTCTGCACTGACAGCAGAGAGCCCCATGCAGGGCTCAAACTCACAAACCATGAGAACATGGCCTGAGCCAAAATCAAGGGTCAGACGTTTAACTGACTGAGGCATCCAGGTGCCCCCCTCCGTTCCCCCGTTTGTTTGTTTTTTTTAACCATGCAACACTATTACACTAACTGTACTCCCTACACTGTACTTTTCATCCCCATGACTCTTCTTTCCAGAACTAGAATCCCGTACCTTCCACTCCCCTTTACCCATTTTGCCCCTCTCCACTCCCTCCCCTCTGCCAACCACCAGTTTGTTCTCTGTGTTTACGGGTCTGTTTGGGGGGGGGGGGGGGGGGGTGAGGAGTTTGTTGTATTTGTTTGTGCATTTGTTTTGTTTTTTAGATTCCACATATAAATGAAATCATATGGTATTCATCTTTCTCTGACTTATTTCATTAGCACTAGGCCCTCTAGATCCTTCTATGTTGTTGCAAATGGCAAGATTTCATTCTTTTCATGGCTGAGTAATATTCCATTGTGTCTATACACCACATCTCTATCCATTCACCTGTGGATGGACATTTGGGTTGCTTCCATAGCGTGGCTATTGTAAATGACGCTGCAGTGAGCACAGGGGTGCATATATCTTTTCAAGCTAGTGTTTTCATTTTCTTTGGGTAAATTCCCCATAGTGGGATTCCTGGACCATAGAGTAATTCTATTTTTAATCTTTTGAGGAGCCTCCGTACTGCTTTCCATAGTGGCCGCACCAATTTACATTCCTACCAATTGCACACCAGGGTTCCTTTGACTCCACATCCTCTGCCAACGCTTGTTATTTTGGGGGGTGTTTTCTTTGATGTTTTTAAATCTTTATTTTTGAGAGAGAGAGAGTGCAAGAAGGGGAGCAACAGAGAGTGAAGGAGACACAGGATCTGAAGCAGGCTCCAGGCTCTAAGCTGTCAGCACAGAGCCTGACCTGGGGCTTGAACCCACAAACCGTGAGATCATGACCTGAGCCGAAGTCAAACACTTAACTGACTGAGCTACCCAGGTACCCCTGACTTGTTTTTTATTCTAGCCATTCTGACAGATGTACAGTAATATCTTGTTGTGGTTTCAATTTCCTTTCCCTGATGACGTGTGATGTTGAGCATCTTTTCCTGTGCCCTTTGACCATCCGTATGCCTTCTTTGGAAAAAATGTCTATTCAGATCCTCTGCTCATTTTAATCAGATTATTTGGTTTTGGGTGCTGAGTTGTAGGAGTTCTTTATATAGTTTGGATATTAACGCTTTATTGAATGTATCCTTTGCAAATATCTTCTCCCATTCCATAGGTTGCCTCTACTGTCTGTCATTATGGATTTGTCGCTGGGATATTTCATGTAAACGGAATCACCATACGTGGCCTTTTGTGCTTGGCCTTGTTCACTTAGTGTAATGTTCTCAGGATTCATCCACACTACAGCGTTTATCAGTACTTTGTTTACGGCTGATTCAGATTGCACCGTATGGATATGCTACATTTTGTCTATCCTTTCAGCCACTGAGGGACAGTCTGTTTTTTCCACCTTTGGCCGCAGTGAACAGCTGAGCATCTTTGCGGCTGGGAACCGGAGAAGGCTGGAGAAGGGGCCGTGGCTCAGAAGGGCTAGAAAGGGGAATTTGAGAACCAGAACTGGGCCGTGGCCGCCATCACCAATCCTGATTACTTTACCTCCAAACCATGTCTGAGTCTGTCACTTCTCCATCTCTGCCGCCACTTCCC